CAAGGAATCTAAGCAATTAAACTGTTTGTGTGCTTGTGTGCTGACACGATTTCCCTCACAGTCCTTTACTGTCTCCACAGCACCTGATCTGATATTGATGTTATCAACATGCACACAGACACACTGCAACAGGTAGGGACAGTTGGTCTCACCTCTGGGTGACTTCACTGGCGAAAGCCCGTGTATTAGTAGCGTCACGGACTGTGCAAGGCATTGAGTACTTCTCAGTGCACTACAGCGATTTCCCACTATTATTAGCTTAGGAACAGCAAAGCTTCTTAGGGCTCTTTATTTAACCAGATAGCCAGTCTGATGTGGAACTGAACAGCATCTGATATAAGCAAGCAGACACTGGGATTCCTCTCCTCATACTGCATAAGATCAGTTGTACTTTCCTCATCATAGATTATTACTGACCCAGGTTCTGTGAGACCGCTCTGAGGGGGTTTGGAGACGGATGAGAGGTTTCTATGAACCTCAAGCAACTGTCACATTGTTTAAGTTGTAAATTAGAGTTGTTGTCATAACTAAACTGCATGCCATATTATTAGTCACAATACTCCACTTTTGCAGTTTCCCTCATTTACTTCCAGCAAATGGTTCTGGGTTGATCTGGGTCAGGATTTCTCTCACTGACGTTCCCAGCAGACATAAGGTAGCAGAAACTAATTGTGTGTGTGTGTGTGTGTGTGTGTGCAAGGCAACAGACATCTTCATGTATGCAACATGTTTGTATTGCACACAACAGTACCATTTAAAAGTAACTGTGAAGACATATATAATGTTACAAAAGATTTCTATTTCCAAATAAATGCTGTTCTTTGAACTTTCCATTCATCAGAGAATTTCATCAGAGTAATGGCTCTGCTGAATAAATTAAAAATGCAATAAGATAGGAAACAGTTTTGTAAAATTGTAATTTTTACAGTATTATTGTTTTTACTGTATTTGTGATAAATGAAGCATTGGTTAGCATAAGAGACTTCCTTCGAATACAAAAAAATCATATTGGTACTTGAATGGTAGTGTAGATTTTTGTAAATAATATTTTGGATTTTTCTCTTCATTACTAATTGAAAATGTGCTTTGTGACTATTTGTATTTATTAGGACAGTGAGACTGAGGACAAGAAATGTATATAGAGCTGGATTCAAATTTGCACTGCTGTCACAGGCACTATGGTGTCAGAGCATTTGCACTTGCTATGCTGCAGCTCTAACACTTCCATTTTATGAAGGATGATGCAGATGTCACGTTACAGTATGTATCTTTATCGTGTGAGCTGAAGGCCAGAGGACTGCCACAATACTTTCATCATGGTATTTTATTAGCTCTGCTAGGGAGGTTGGGAGGTCTTTTGGGGGAACAAGCTGTTCTTGAAGAGCTAGTTGTGCATGGTGCTCATCACTCATTTTCTGTTATTCTGCTCTCTCTTTCTCTCACACTATCATTTTTAAAAAATATATTTCTCTTTCCATATCTTTATTCTCTGCCTTAAAGCTGCAGTGTGCAAATTCTGTGGCAACATTAGCCATTTCACACTGTTAGGTGTTTTTGCTTCCAACATCGGCTATCACAGGGTAAACTTTCTTCCAGTGATACCCTAGACTAACAAGAGCAAGGTCTGGAATAGGGTTGGTTATCGTTTTAATTTGAGCAATTATGACTCCGATTCTGCTTATTGATTCTGATTATTAAGGGAAAAAAATTGTCATAATATGGTGATGTGATAATACGGTGAAGGACTGACTACAAATTTTCGATGAAACAGGAACTGGTGAAAGCCAAATTGGTGCATTTAGTGACTGAATTTCTTACAACCAAATAAAAATGATTTTATATAAAGATATATATATATATAAAGATAATAAAGATGTCTCGTCTTGCTCTTTAGATGTCTAACCTGAACCGTAAACCAGATTAAAAGTATCAGCCTGCTTTTCCACTGTTCCCAATGCTTACAGCACCCTCCATCTCTCTTTTAGTGTTTTTTCTCCTTTATTTTATCCCCCATCATTGTGTTTATTCATGGCGATATAAAGATATATATATATAAAGATAATAAAGATCTCTCGTCTTGCTCTTTAGATGTCTAACCTGAACCGTAAACCAGATTAAAAGTATCAGCCTGCTTTTCCACTGTTCCCAATGCTTACAGCACCCTCCATCTCTCTTTTAGTGTTTTTTCTCCTTTATTTTATCCCCCATCATTGTGTTTATTCATGGCGCTATGCTAATGAACTGGCAGCCCGCGTTTGGTGGATTAATCAAAGCCTCTTCTCCCTCATGAATGAAGTTCAGCATGAAATAAAAATAAAAAACATAGGCTTTGCCTTTGTCGATTAACTCTAGGGTTCAAAGATCTTATATTTTTCTGTGAAGTGAACATTTTCAAGTTGGTATACTGCAGCATCCTTGTAGTGTATATCACACATTGTGTGTGTCAGATTGATAGAGTAAACTCCCAGTGGTCTGTTTCCCTTGGGGTCAGAGTTCACAGTTGGATTGACATGTTGAGTCTTGTGTGATACGTAGGTTTGTCCCCCTTCCTGTCTGTCAGGCTCTGTCATCACAAATAGGCATGTCTTATGACAGAGAGTGTACAGAGCATCTATAAATAAATCAATCAGATGGAGGGGGATAGAGAGGGGTAAAAATAGAGAGACGAGAAATGGGGTAGAGAAACATAAAGGAGAGAGAATTTAAAAGAAATAAAAAAAACACTGGGTGAGTCAGTCAAAGGAGAATAACTGAGAGAAAGGCCATGACTCCATTTACATTCATTTATTTAGCTGATGCTTTTATCCAAAGCAGCATACAAGATGGTATTCAACAAGACTTGATTGCGTTGCATTGTGAAATCACAACGCTGTTTCTTTGACTCAGTAAGGCTGTATGCAGCTTGTAGAAACACATCTCACTGGCTGCTCACTGCTGGCCCTGTCAGGCTCCCTCTGCCCAGTCACTGGAAGCTCATCAATAACCTTTAATAGACCACAGGCACAATATGCTCTGTGGGTGTGTGTCTGTACAGTATTAGTGCATAATAGCCATCTGTGTGTGTGCGAGCTGGCATTATTAATAGGTCGGCCTCTATGTGGTGACAGGCTAAAGCATGCGCCTATGTGTGAATTTGTTTCCCGTGTGTTTTTTTGTACACATCCTGAGATAGATGACGTGCATGGGTTATTCCTCTCTGGATTTGAGCCCATCTGTCGCCCCACCCAAAATTCTCCCCATTGACTAACCCTGGCTCTCTGTCTCATATATTATATTTTAAATGAATCTGACTCTATGGATCTTGCTTTCTCACTCTCACTCTCTCTCTGTGCTTCTCACCCATACCCTACCGTCCCCTGCGCTGATACTGTGATATCAGTACTATTTGTGCTATAATGCTGTTATTGTTAACCTGTTGCTAGTGTTGTAGCGTCTGCAGATTCCCCAGTGGCTTGTTTGCAGCTAGCCCGAGTCTTTCCTTTTCAAGGCTATCAGAACAGCAGTCCAATAAAGGAGAGAGAGAAAGGAGAGAAAATAGCCTGTTCCCTTTCATCCCTCTTATCAGCAGACAGAGACCTTGAAGTGCCTCAATAGACAGTAATTATTTATGTGTTAGTTATACGAGCAATTACACTGTGTGAACTTTGGTAAATGTTATACAGTTTCTATAAGTGATTTATTTTGTGCACCTATCCTGTCTGTGTTTTTTTACTAATCGTAGTTCTGGTTTTTGAGGCTCTATGTCCCTAGAACTGTAGAATATGCTTTTCCAGAATGCTTTTTGTTGTTGTTGTTCATTTTACATATTAATTTCTCATACAAGTGTGTAAAGTTAGGGCCGGACGATATGGCCAAAATTTATATCACGACATATTTCTTAATTTCGGTCGATATGATATAATTCCGATATCGATATGAACACTATTAAAAAAAGCCTAATAAAAACAGCCAAGAACACCCACAACAGATGTCTGTACCTAAACACTTCTGACAAATGAATTTTCCAAGTCTATGAAACCTCCTCCTATAAAACTATGTAATATTTAAGAAAACAAAACAGCACAAATAAATTAATGTTTACCTTATATCAAACTGTAGGCTGACATACAATACCAGTCAAAAGTTTTTGAACAGTAAGATCTTTTATGTTTTTTAAAGAAGTCTCTTCTGCTCACCAAACCTGCATTTATTTGATCCAAAATACAGCAAAAACAGTAGCATTTAGAATTTTTTTTACTATTTAAAATAACTTTTCTATTTGAAAATATTTTAAAATGTGATTTATGCCTGAGATTTCAAAGCTGAATTTTTAGCATCATTACTCCAGTCACATGATCCTTCAGAAATCATTCTAATATGCTTATTTGCTGCTCAAAAACATTTATTATTATGTTGAAAGCAAATTAGTAGATTTTTTTGTATAAAAAGTTCAGAAGAACAGCATTTATCTGAAATAGAAATCTTTTGTAACATTATAATCTTTTTGATCAATTTAAAGCATCCTTGCTAAATAAAAGTATTATAAATAAAATAAAATTGCAGCGCTAAATAAAATTTCTATAATTTCTTTCCCAAAAATTATAAATATATTCTCAACTGTTTTAAATATTGATAATGAGCAAATCAGCGTATTAGAATGATTTCTGAAGATTTAAAATAACTTCAAATACAAATAGGAAGCAGTTATTTTAAATAGTAAAAATAATTCAAAATGTTACTGTTTTTGCTGTACTTTGGATCAAATAAATGCAGGCTTGGTGAGCAGAAGATAATTCTTTAATAAAACTACTGCAAAATATTGATCTAACGAAAGAATAAAACTATCAATTAAAAATACTGCTCTACAATGCAGCCTTCTGGGGATCTCTCCATCAATGCACAGTCACTGAAAAGAGGTGCAGGAAAATATAGGTGCACGTTAGGCTACGCGTGCTACGCACAACCTACGATGTAGCTACGGCGTAGATCCGACACAGAAGTATAAATCAGCCTTTACGCCGATGCCCAGAGACGTGGCTCAAAAGTGAGGCTGTAGTGTGTAAGCGTCCGACCCCCATAGATGTAAGACTACGTTTTCACTAGTGCGTTTTCGTTTTAAAACAGCTTTTTAAAATGAAAGCATTCCTCGTCCAATATATGGCAATATATATGTTACTGAAATATATTATTTGTAGCTTATGTCAGGCTAATCGCTACACCTGCTTAGCTTTTCTCATGTAAACACCCTGTTTTGTTATGAAAATAGGCAGAATCTCATGAAAATCACATACAAACCATTATACTGTCGTAATCGTGTGTATAGAGCTGGGCGATATAGCTAAAAAATTATTGACATTTTTTATAACCTTTTTTAAAACAAAGAGCAAGATAAAAAAATTTTTACATTTAACCACTGTATTTTTAAATTAACTCAATTTATTGAGTCAAACAACAAATATTTTTTGTTTTAACAGTGAAACACAAAATAAAAATTAAACAAATATCTAATTTCTAATGTTTTATATGCAGATTAAATAGGTTACATTTTTGGATTGTTTTTCCGAGGCCACAGGAGGGCGCAATGAGCAAAATATGCAGCAATGTAGCACATTAAATTGTCAACACAAGGAAATAACTCTCTATAAAAAACGTACGTTCTAAATTAACTCATATAAATCAAATATAATTTCGTAAATTGCATAAACAATTATGAACAAAACAGTATCACGTATTTATGCATTGCTTAATACAAAGAGCCGAATCGCCCATCACGCAGATTGCATTTAAAAACATATGAGACGCAGTGAAAAGGAATAAACCTCCACAAATTCGTGACGTGTTTTCTAAAAGTTTAAACTGTTTTAACTTTGCATGGTGTCGTAAAATCATGTACTAACTGTATAACACACAGACCAGGCGACTATGTAAATACTGCATCTCATCGTCACACATGGCTTTCGCGAGTGCAGCAGTCATATTTGTCCGTCTAGAAAATGCGCTGAATATGCATTCTGTGTGAATGGCTTGGTTTCGGTTTTAACCTAATCAAGATCTTCTACGCATTGAGCTAATATATTTCTCTAATATTTTGAATGAATAACGCAGCAACTGCGCGTCTCGTGGGCTAGACTAACAAAACATTAAACTACAGCGTCACTTACATCATCATCACCGCATCTCGTGCTCTACTGATGACGCTCCCTGACGCACACCTAACATTCGATTGTACTATTTTTGCATTCAAATGCAAATGTTTATTTTAAATTCGACTAATATTCATTTTTTTATTCACAATCTCCTCATCACAGGCAGGCACAGCACTCATGTTTGTGTTTGTGTGTGCTGTCTGCGTCACTCATAACACGTGCCTATATCATGCACTATATCGAACGTTTTTTATATCGATATCGAAGAAGGTGTACCATCGATAAATATCGATACCGTTTTATCGCCCAGGCCTAGTTCATGTTTCATCCGTAGGAATGTTTTTCTGGGTTTCTTAAGTGAACGCGGAAGTGTGATGGACGTTTGTCATTGGAGACAGAGCGGGTTATGAATGCGTAATATGATTGACATATGAGCAGCGAATGAGCTTCCTCTGAGTCAGAACAGCGATCGCGGAAGAGAAAACACAGGCAGAGCTGCTAATGCTCATCAGTATATCACTGGAAAATGAATGAAAATTATGATTCTGTCTGAGCTATGCATTTTAGGATGAAAACGCACTAGTGTAAACATAGCCTAAAAGATGTGGAAACTGAAAACTATTTGAACTTTATTAAAACTATTTGCACAGATTTATTGTGTTGGTTACATTTTGTTCCTTTGTGCTTTGGTTTCTTAAGTGAACGCGGAAGTGTGATGGACGTTTGTCATTGGAGACAGAGCGGGTTATGAATGCGTAATATGATTGACATATGAGCAGCGAATGAGCTTCCTCTGAGTCAGAACAGCGATCGCGGAAGAGAAAACAGACAGACAGACAGCGCTGGAAGCAGCTAATGCTCGTCAGAAAATCAGTGGAAAATGAATAGAAATGATGATTATTTCTGAGCAATTCGTTTTAAAACAAAAACTCACTAGTGTAAACGCACCCTAAAAGATGTGGAAACTGAAAACTGTTTGAACTTTATTAAAACTATTTGCACTGATTTATTGTGTTGGTTACATTTTGTTCCTTTGTGCTTTTTTTTTTGTTTGTTTGTTGTGCAGTGGCTCAGGACATGAGTCTTTGAGTATGTAAAAACTTCAAAAAGCTGAAAAAATATACGTTTTTTTTTTTGTGTTTTGAGGTAATGTAATCTTGTTAAAAACACATTTCATATCGAACAAAAAGTATCGTTCAGTAACCGGTATCGAGGTCAAGGTATTGGTATCGATATCGAACATTTTTGAACGATACCCAGCCCTACGGTCCATCTTTGTCCTTCTGGGTAAATGCATTGTCGATAGTATGTTTTTTCACCCTCAAAGACCGAGATAGCTGCCCGCGGCTAAAAATAACTATTGTTCTTAAATGTTTAATAACTTTTGAACCGCTAATCCTATCTGAATAAAAAGTGTTGTAAAGCGGAGATTCTCCGGAACATTTTTGAACGATACCCAGCCCTATGGTCCATCTTTGTCCTTCTGGGTAAATGCATTGTCGATAGTATGTTTTTTAACCCTCAAAGACCGAGATAGCTGCCCGCGGCTAAAAATAACTATTGTTCTTAAATGTTTAATAACTTTTGAACCGCTAATCCTACCTTTTAAATGCTTTAAAAAGTGTTGTAAAGTGGAGATTCTCCGCTTTTCGGAGATATCTCATTTGTCTTATTTGGATATTCAGAGGCTCCGTAGTGTACGTGATTACGTCATCACATTTTGACAACATTGATTCGTCAGAAGAAACTAATGCATTTCATTCCTCTGAGCCAAACAGAAACGATTATTGATGCTTAGTCCCACCCCGTGCCCAGATTGGTTCAAACTGTTCCATATTCAACCAATAAACATAGGTTTTGGTCTTTTGAACCACCATTTAGGATTTTTCATTAGAAGTTTGAACAAACGCAAAGTGAAAGTACAGTCTGTCATGCGTGCATGAAAACAAACACAAAATAACACATTAGCATGAGAGCACTCTCTGAAAAAGCTCAGAAAAACACTTTGACATAAAACAAACCAAAAACAAGAATGAAACAGCGGTACATATCGGATAAAGCACTGGAATTTATGTCTTCGCGTCGCGCAGCGATGTCCTGGTAAAATTGATTCCGACGCAGAGTACAGCCAGCGGATCGATCATATATATTATGTATATTATGTAAATAATTCTTATATAGTTCATAAAGATCATTTTCACTATTTTTTTTGTTGCACTCTGTATATTTCTCACTCATTTTGTGTGTAGTTTGTGGATCATTTGCACTGTTTGTATTTTTGTTGCAGAAGACAATTTGTCCAATTGTTTTCACTAAACAGCTGCACGGTTTGTGTTTGTTGTTGTTCATACTCAGATTGAAAATATATTTCTCTGAAAAAAAGTCACTTAGTTACTGTGTTTTGTTATTAGACCTCTGTCTCGAGACCACCTGTACCTGAGTCTAGATCACTCGTATCGCGATTCATCCTTGAGCCCGAGCCCATGTAGCAGCCTTTCCTCTCGTAGCTGGTTCTCCGACGCATCGTCCTGCGAATCCATCTCGCATGTATATGATGACGTGGATTCAGAGCTAAATGAAGCAGCGGCGCGTTTCACCCTGGGCTCGCCGCTCACCTCGCCCGGCTGCTCTCCACAGACTGGACCACATGAGGAAGTGTGGCAACAGCAGCATCATCATCACATGGCCTTCACTCACTCCCTTTCTCATTCGCCTGGCCATTCTCTCTCGCCCCGCCAGTCGCCTTGCCACTCACCCCGTACCAGCATCACAGATGAGAACTGGCTGAGCCCTCGCTCACCCTCACGGCCCTCTTCACGTCCAACATCGCCCTGCGGGAAGAGACGCCACTCCAGTGCTGATATATGCTACCTGGGCTCTCTATCACCCCATCACTCCCCGACTGCCACGCCCGGCCCCTCGCCCAGGGGCAGCGTGACCGAAGACACCTGGATAGGAAGCCCGTCTATGGGTGTGTCCTCTTTCCAGTGTTGTCCCTCTGAGGCTGACATCCCCTCCAAGACAAGAAAGACATCCCAGGACTGTTCAGGAGCAATCCAGTCAGGAAAGGGTGACCTGGTCATGGATGACTCTGGGAATGTATCTCCTTTGCTTGACTCACCTGCTGAGGAAGCCATGCACGGATTAAAGAAGGATGGATCTGGAGAGCAGTTTCTTTCTGTCCCATCTCACTTCACATGGAACAAACCCAAACCAGGACACACACCTATTTTCAGGTAAACTCCCTCCTCTGCTTTGAAGTGACAACAGAGTAACCATTATTGAGTTCATGTGAGTAAAGCTCTACAATGCTTCTTTCTTGCAAGTGTTCATGTGTATAGACTAGGGATGTGCGGGTCTAGTCGACTAAACGGTACAGCTCCTACTAGTCGACACTGAAAACAATAGTCGACACTGAAAGCCATAGTTGATTACACGACGAAAAAAAGAAAAACAAAAACATGATTTTATCATTCACATTACCATCATTTTAACATTGCATTTAAAACATTTTAAATAACAAGTTAAAATAAAACGTTTGAAAAATAATACATTATTTTTTAAAGTTTATCTGGGCGGAAACTACATTTTTACCTCAGACCTCACATGCGTTTTTGTTCGTGTCAGTTGCGGCGAGTTAACAAATGACCATGCGAAAGATGAGAAGGTGTGGGATTATTTTGAATTAGAAGGAAACGGAAAAGTTTTGAGTAAACTGTGTAATGTCAAATTGTCTTACAATAACTCTACTGGAGCGATGCGTAATCATATTCAATACAGGCACG